GACCGGCTGCCAGGAGCAACTGGCACAGACTGCGCCCCGCCCCCGGGCCTCCTTACCTGCTGGCTGCCGGCAGGCTCCCGCTGGGCAGACTCGGCTTCCCCCCCTCCCCCCCCCGGCAAGGAAAGGGGGGGGCAGCCGGGGGGCCCCCCCCCCCCCCTTCTGTGGGCGGGGGCCCCCCTGCCCAGTGGCCACGGGGCCCTAAAGGGGGGGGGGGGCCCCACGGCTGCCGCCTCCTTCTCTTGCAGGGCGTGGTAGTGGGGGAAGCCGAGTCTGCCCAGCGGGAGCCTGCCGGCAGCCAGCAGGTAAGGAGGCCCTGGGGCGGGGCGCAGTCTGTGCCAGTTGCTCCTGGCAGCCGGTCAGTCTCTCTCTCTCTCTCTCTCTCTCTCTGCTTCCTTCCCTGGCCTGGTCATTCTCCAGTGCTCGGCCCCGTCCCAGCCTTTCTGCCTGGCGGGCAAAGAGATTCTTTTTGTAAGTGCCCTTCGGTTGCTGCCCTCTGCCTACCCCCCCCCCAGCTTCTGTGGGCAGGCACCCCCTCCCCTTTAGGGCCTCGTGGCCACTGTGCAGGGGGCTCCCAGGCCCTGAGCAGCCCTGGAGTCCTGAGGCAGCAATGGCTGTTGGAGGGCGGCCCTTCCGTTTCCTGGACCGGCCCCCGGTGCCTCTGCCTGCCCTTAGCTGCTCTTGGCCTCAGCGTGCCCTGGGAGGCTCTCTGCTGGGCACAGGGCCAGCCTGCCCTCTGACCCGCTTCTCCCTCTGGCTTGCATGCAGACCAAGCCCGGGAGAATCCAGCCCGTCTCTCGCCTCCGCCTGACCTCAGCCCTGGGCCCCACGGAGGGGCGGGGCAGCCCCAGCCCTTTGCAGCAGCCCGAGCCGGTCTCTAGCCCCAACGGCCTGGTGAGTGCCTGGGGAGACACCCCCGCCCTTGCCCTGTCCTTGCCCTGCCTGCCCCACGCCGTCTCGGGGGCCCTGTCAGTTGCCTTTCCCTGGCTCTCCCCACAGCCTTGGCAGTCCGGACCCTTGTCGCAATGCGAGGACCCCCCTCTCAGTGCCAAGCAGGCGTACAAGGCCTTGGCCGCCGTCCCAGGATTGCAGCTCCCGTTGGAGGCGGAGGTGAGGCAGGCCTGGGCCCTGGGGGTGGGGGGGGTTGGGGGTGGGATGGTCTGTGGCCCAACCTGTGCAGCGCTCATCCTGTGTCCTCCCCCCCTCCTCCCCCCAGGAGCTGCCTGGCCAGAGGAGCCTTGATCGGGTGCCGCCCGTCTCTTCCGAGGTAAGGAGTCTGGGCCGTGGGAGCGGCCTCGGGGCTGGGCGCCTGACCCCAGCTGAGCCCACGCCGCCTCCGTGTGCCCCACAGAGCCCATGGCCGGGCAGCCCACACAGCCCGGAGCAGCGCACCTTCCGCGAGAGGCAGAAGTACTTTGAGCTGGAGCTGAAGCAGCCGCCTGCCGCCGGGAAGCCCCTGAAGCGAGTCTCTCTGGTCGGGGAGGAAGACCTGAAGAAGATGAAGGAGGAAGAAGGTGGGGCCCGCGGGGCGGGGTCCTTCTGGCCGGCTGCTGCTGCTGCTGCTCCTTGGGCAAGAACTCCAGCAGCTCCGCCAGCTGAGGGCCTGCGCCAACTGCTTCTCACCCACCCCTAGGGAAAAGCAGGTCTCGGCTGCTGCCCTGGCTGGGTCGGCCCTGGGGGTGGGGGCTGCTGTGGGGCTTAGGGCTCACCGGTCGTGTCTGCAGCTGCCCCCCTTTGGAAACTGCTCTCAAGCGGCTCCTGTTTGGCCGGGGGGGGGGGGGGGGGGGAGGAGGGCCAGGAGACCGGCTGTCAACACACAGTCACGCACCCCTCCCCACCCCCGGAGCTCATCAGGCGAAGCCACGGACATCCTGCCTTGACAAAGGCAGCAGCTGGCCTTGGAGCTCNTAGGCACGTTTTCAAGCAGTGCGCATGAGTGCAAGCTGTGTGTGATTACATTTGTGAACCGGTAGGGAAACTAAGTGAATACTACCCCGATAAGCATGATTTTAATAATGTATCTAGACAAAATGACAAATAATTAGCTGAACTAATTTTAAAACCCCGCAGGAATGGCACTGAAATAATAAATAGGGCAGCTTAAAAAAGAGAAGAATATATTGCCATTTAAAGTTCGTGAGACACACACGTAGTATTCATTTATTTGATGGATTGATATACCTACCCTAAGTGACTCTGGGTGGCTCAGAATAATTAAAACAGGTTAATAGCAAATATACAAACATAAAATAATTTTTAAAGCCATAATTAGTGACAGAATCCATCTTTAAATCACATTAAACACCATCAACACCAAGAACAAATGCAAAAGAAAAATGGGATCAAAATAGTTCTCCACGTTGCTACAATTTATGGAGTCTTGAAAAGGGATCAAATATTATTTCTGTACATGTACCCAGAAATCCACAAATAAATATTGTGGGAAGCCTTCCCTTGCACTCCTAGAAGAATAAAATATTTTGGGAAATATTAAAAAATGCAAAATCTTAAGAGAGGCAGAAACCAGCCTCAGTCTCCCTGCCCCCAAGCAGAAACTGAGGAGGACAGCTTTTAAAAATGCAGATTTGGTAATCCATTCAGAAAAACTGGGTCAGACAGGAAACTCCAAATAAGCAATTAGGCAAGCCAAAAAGGTTGAGAGGATTAGTTCAGACAAGCACTTAGGACAGTGATGGCTAACCTTTTCCAGACCGAGTGCCCAAAGCGCATACATGCGCAAAGCCCCAATATGCAATGTGTGCACAGCCCCTGCACATGTGCCCTACCCCCATGCATGCACATGTGGCCTTTCTTGTGCTCCTTTCCCCTGCCCCCACATGCCCCCACCCCCAGTGCATGCATGGCAGAGACTTGAAAAACCAGTTGGCTTGTAGGAAGTGTGGGCACATGCCCAGTGGAGCTGAACTGGAGCAATGGTTCACATGCCCACAGAGAGGGCACTGTGGCACATGGGCCCTAGTTTTGCCATCATGGACCTAAGATTTGTATTTCCCTTTTTGCCTATAGAGCCAGCCATGACCCCATAGGACTCTGACAACAGCCAATAGAATATTAAAGGACATATTCTTGGACAGGAACAGGAAGCTCAAATACAAAGCCCCCAAAAGGTCTAAAAGCCACCCACTCTTAACTCCATGTTGTCAGCTGCACCAGAACCACAAACCCTGGTGGTTCTGTTTATCAATGAATGGACCTTTCTTTCCATTCAGCCTCCAGCCTCCATTTTATTTCCAGCATCTTTCTCCCAGCTTGGAACTGAACCAGATGAATTTCCAATAATATCTCTCATCCTAAGGAAGAAGACAGGGGAAAAATCATTGAGAAGAGCTTATGGATATGAACTAAAAATATTTGAAACTATTACATTTGCCTCTCCTGCCTTTGCTTAATATTTGTATATATTTTATTGCAAAGTTTAAGGTATAAAGGCTGGAGTTATGCAGAATGTCCCTAAAATATACACAAATTAACACCCCTGTATGTCAAAACCTTATGCATAATTTGGCATTGATATGATGATAATTATTTGTCATTAAGTCATTGTCAACTTTTAACCACATAGATCATTTTTCTTCTTGATCATCTGCCCCATATCTGGTCCTTCAGCATTGCCAGTCGTTTTTTGTAATTAAGCCCATAAACACTGCTGCTGGTTATCCCCTGCTTCTCTTTCTTTCCATCTTTCCCAGCACTTCTTCAGAGATCTAGGTCTTTGTATCATGTGTCCAAAGTAAGATAAGTTGGTGATTACCAGAAACCAGCATGGCTTTGTTAAAAGCATGTCATGCCAAACAAACATTGCCTTCTTTGATAAAGTGACTAAATTAGTGGGTCAATAAAATGCTGTGAATATAGTATGCATAGATTTCAGTAAAGCATTTGATAAAGTGGACCACAGTTAACATCTTCATAAGGTAGAACGATGTGGGATACCACCAACATATGCACTGGAAGTTGGCTTCCCAACTGCTCTCAGTGTGTAGTCCTTAATGGAACTACATCTATGTGGACAGAAGGTTCTGTCTNCCGCAAATGCAGAGATGTTCATTGTAGGGTATAGAATGGAATCTCCCATATCTGACCAATAATTTTTGAATGGCATCCTTACTTCTGTTTTCACTGTATTCAACAAGATGATTGGCTGTTGTGTATCCTGATGCATATTTCTGTTTCACTGTCTGGAAATATGCCGCCTAATAGTTTTCTGAAACTGTCACTTACATTAATTGACAAATTGTGATTCAGTTCAAAACATACGCTGAAGAAGTGCTTCTGTATTCACAGGTCTGTGACTAGATTGTGGGGATTCTCAGTAAGTAACAACATCCCAGCAGCACTTGGTAATATTTTGAAATCTGGATTTTTTTTCATGGTGTCCTTTGCTTAACAGTGTTTGGACTTTCTTTTATATTGTGAATTCCATGGTGAAATATGAGGAAAATCTCTGGTTTGAGCTTTTCATCTGATTTGACAATGAGCTGCTGCTTTGGATGACAATGGAGTACAATTTCAGCTCTGAAACAAACTTTTTAGGAATTAATACCATTTTGGACAAGCCAGGCTCTTCACATCATTTCTGTAGTGAAACTGATTCCCCACCCCCTGTAAGCAGAAAGCCTCCTTCATGTATTATTTAAAGTGAAAGAGTGATAAATAAATCATCGTCATTGGCTTCAGTGATTATGAAGCCCTGTAAAAGGTTCTTCTATTCGACAACCACTCAAATCTCAGACCTCATCATAGCTTTTGATATATATATTTCCAACACTTTGTCTTACTCTCTTTTGGCTATTTTTGCTCCCTTTCCCAGAAATCAGTGACAAAAACAACTCCTTTAGGCCTTGTCACGTGTGTGTGTGCATCAGAAGCACAAAACAGCCAGCTGGTTCAGGAGGAGTACTCTCTGTTGTTCAAGTAAGCTAACTGGAAGGAATGTACTGAGAGCACATATCTGTTTCGGGCTCTTCAGTAAGAAGGGAAGCGTGCCTTATGGCCGTATGGTTTTGCTTAGTCTCTATCTCAACATGCTAAGAAAAATAACTATGGATTTCTAAGGGTGGAAGAAAAAATGGGACAATTGGTAAGCATCAGAGGTAGTATTCAGCCAGTTTGGACCAGTTCACCCGAACCGGTTGTGGAAATCATGGGTGGCCCTGCCCATCCAAGCCACCTCTATGCCATCCTATTTAGGCACGTTTTCAAGCAGTGCGCATGTGTGCAAGCTGCGTGTGATTACATTTGTGAACCGGTAGGGAAACTAAGTGATTACCACCCCTGATAAGCATGATTTTAATAATGTATCTAGACAAAGTGACAAATAATTAGCTGAACTAATTTTAAAACCCCG